ACAGGCCGAGTGTGGACTGAGGGGTACAGGCCAGAGTGTGGACTGAGGGGTACAGGCTGAGTGTGGACTGACAGGCACAGACTTTGCTGCAGAATGGAGGCCAATTGGACTGAATCTGTCAGAAATTCCAATCTGTGTCCCTTCTCCCAGCAATTCTGGAGTGCTCCCAGGGTGTTAGACTAGGGGTGTGGAACGTTCTCTCCAGTCCTGAGAAAGAGGGACACACCAATGCCAGGACCCTGCAAGGAAGGGAGGCCCGGGGTTCAGAGGAAAAGGCAGATGGACCACCAGTGTCAAAGCCTGGGGTGTTGGGAGCATGTGGGGAGCTCTCTGAGGTCAGGAGTCACAGCGGGAAGAGGAGAGATGCAGGTGAGCCGTCCAATGGCAGCTAGGATCCTGGCCCCCCTTCAATCTCGGGGGGACTGACTGAGGGGTCTCCAGCTGACAGCCTAGTTAGAGAGGAAGACGGAAGTTCCTCTCTCCGTGGTGTGGAGGAATGACTGACTGTGCACCGTTGTACACGGTCCTGCAAATAACCTAGCCTTGGAAGGCTAGGCTCAATGGAAATGTGCTTTTGAATTCAGCCAAGCATCGGTGTCCTTGGATACTTTCTTATATGAGGATTTCTGTCTCCCTGAAGGTTTGGAGAGTGAGGCCTCCCTAGAATCAGGTCTTCGGTCAGTCTGGGGTAATGTTCACAGTGGCAGTGACAGTCTTGAGTGGTCTCTGATCTCTGATCAAATATTCATGGATATTTTTCACTCTACTCCCTGGTATATCTGGATTAGTTTTAGTATTCAAAATGGAATATGTTGTAAATAAATGTGTATCATAGAAGAGGGAGGGAGCTGAGAGAGGCGAATAGGGAGTGAAACAATTAAAAGTCATTGTAAATGCATGGAAAACCAAGCAATTAAAAATTTAAAAGTAGGGGAAGACAGCCACCCGCATTGATGTCAGACAGGGTCTAGCCAGCCCAGGTCCTTAGGCCCTCAGTGGCAGGAAGACAGCCATGGGCCTGGCCAGCGCCTTGCAGGGCCGGGCATGTGGGCCTTATTATGATAAGGAAATATGTGGTGGGGGAATGGGAGAGATAGAGAAGCAGAATGGTTCCTGCGCTGTAGAAAGACTCAGAAAGTAAGAAATGAAGACGGTGAGGAGTGGGCAGATGTTGGAGGCCTGCTTGCCACTGGGAAACATGGTGATGGTCAGACAGGCTTCTGCCAAGGGCTGTATCTGGGTCCCTGGTACACAGTAGCCAGGATCTGTGTCGATGTCCATGGCTCCTGTTGCCAGCGAGGGCCATGCTAACTCCAGTGGGCTGGGCTGCCTCCTGGGGTCCTGTTTGGGTCTGTGAGCCATGCTGCCATTGGGGCCTCACCAATCTGGGCAGCTTTTGCCGCCACCTGGGGCCATGGTGACAACCAGGCCTAGGCTGCTGCTGAGGACCATGTCTGGGCCATGGTCCTACCACAGCCATGGTCTATTTTGATGTGCATGTCCCATGGTGCCACCAAAGGCCACATGAAGCTCGGGGGCTGGGCTGCAACCTGTGGCCTTGTTGGTGTCCAGGAGGCATGCTGCTGCCAGAGCATCCTGATCTGAGTGGCCGGGGCTACCACTTGGAGCTAGCATGTCTACCAGGCTGAGCTGCTTGCCTGGGGCCATGTTTGGGGTCTGTGTTGAAGTCTGTGACCCAGATTGCCACTAGGGCCATACAGAGGCCCAGGATCTGGTTGGAGTCTGGGGACCACGCCACAGCAAGGACCATACAGATAAGGGTGGCCTGTACTGCCCAGGGCCATGGTGTCATCTGGGCCGAGGCTGCTGCCAAGGTCCATGTCTGGGTCCATGGCCCTATATCGTCCAGGGTCCGGATTGACATATGTG